ATTATAGCATAAATGTAAAAATGGAAAATAGCAAGCCACATGAACTTATCTTATAAGGTCTTCACACTTGAGTGCACTGCATCCGCATAGGGCATGTTGAGCATTAAACTACAATAAAAAAAATTATTCATGAAAATTAATTAGTTGCACAATCGAGTGAGATAGTCATCTTCAATCTGACAAGTATACATACCATTCAATGTTATATTAATACTGTAATCATCAGGAAGGTGTGTATATCAGTGCCCAGATAGGGAGGCTAGAGGGTACTATCACTTGCCTAAGGTGAACCCTCAGGCTGGTGGTGGGAAGGAGGTACCTTACTTCTCCATTCCAGACAGGCTCCAAGCAATGTCTGACCACTGCCCTATCATCTACCAACTTCAATTTATTCTTTTTCAGTGGAGCATTGACCTCGAGGATGCCCTTTCATTGGAGCTTTGCATTTAGTACATTTGCGAGTACTTTTATTCCCAGCGCTATTTAATATTTGATCTGCATCATCTGTTAGGTCTTGTAACTGCTGTCTTTGCTGTTCCACTAAGGAAAAAATGCAGATCATTACATCCTAAAATAATTATAAACAATACCATTATCCTATACTTACAGCACGGATAAAGTGCAGCTTAAAGTCTTTTATACCAGCTTAAAGTCTTTTGTAAAGATGTAAGTTTTTCTTAAGACGATGGCACGATTTACATGGAGACTGGGATTCACAAATATCTTCACCAACTGCATGTAGTTCTTCTTCAAATGGCGAATCGTTTGCTTCCCAGTGCATACTTCAACATGCTCACTCCATCACTAGTAGATGGTACTTCCTCATTGAGAGAACATGTTTCTTTCAGCGATGGCTTATGGAGAGTATGTCGAATAATCTACAAAACTTACATCGAATTTATATGACAAAAGAAAAATTAACATAAACAAGCGTAAACTTACTTGTCTGCGCTTTCGATCGGTTATTTCGTCTTGTAATGGTTCAGGAATCCCAGCCACGTCAATGGTTGGGATAGCATCTTTCTTCAACCTTCTTTTGAGCTTGACTTGCACGCTCAAATTAAGGTCAAAACAAGATCTTCAAAATGCGCAGAACACCGACACGAGGTAGAGGAAGCCTCAAAACCCGGTCTATGTTTACGCACAAAATTTACCATTTTCTATGTCTTTGCGGCTCTGTTTCTTTTTAGGAAACAGATGCATCGACATTCCTTCTGTTTTGAATCATTGGCGCAACTAATTTGATTAGGTCCGCCAGCAACACAACGTTTTCCTCCGCGTTTCTTATTAAGATTACTAGTAGAATACGCCATGTTGATATATGTGTTCAACTTTCTACGTCACAAGTCATCAGCATACCGATCAAAAGTTCGCAAAAAATGCTGAAAATCGTGACTTTGAACGTCAGTAAAATAACTTTCACCAATCCAATTTCAATTATAATTGCAGATTTAAAATCACTGAAACAAGGTCTTTCAATTTAGCTAATAAAAGGGGGCTAAAATTCGTGATATAACCACTTTAAGAAGGCGTAAAGGGGTAAAGGACAGTGCAATTTCTATTCTTGAAGACGAAGAGGTATGTGTATAAAATCAATTTCAGCATGAGTGCATTAAATTTTGTGTGTTGACGTTGTGACTGGACGACTTTTTGTTGCTTTTGTTAACAATGCTTGGTAAATATGGATTCCATACCGAAAAAACAATACTTGAATTTAGTGGGGAAAATTATTGAGGGAAATAAAGTGTAAAGTTAAAAAATGACTAAGTAATCTAAGACGTCAAGCATTATGGGTGAAAATTCAACTGCTGTGGTTCCAAACTACATTAGACTATGGGCCCGTTCACACTGGTCGTTTAGATCGATCTGAGATCGATCTAACGTAAGCGCAAAGTGTGAACCTTCGCTAAATTGAGATCGATCTCAGATCGATCTCAGTAAGCTCGCTTCGAAAGGTGGTCTGAGATCGATCTGAGATCGATCCGGTTTATAATGAACGTAAGTGAGCTTATAATGGAACAGTTTCGCTCCCATTTCCGCAAAACGCAGACATTTTTTCTCAAAATTTAAAGTCAAAACAGAGAAAAAAGCTTGGAAAATGGCGCAAAAACGAGAGGTTTGGTCAGAAAAAGACTGTTTAGCCCTCCTCTCAGCGTACGGTACAGAAGAAATTCAACAAAATTTGAAAGGTACACACAAAAACGCTGATATTTATAAAAAAATCAGCATTATAATGAAAAAAAAAGGGATAGATCGTGATTGGACGCAATGTAGAACTAAATTTAAGCATATGAAATCTGAATACAAAAAGTTTAAAGACACATTATCACGATCAGGAGCTGGGAGAGGTAAGGAACCTAAATTCTTTAACGTTATGGACAGTTTCTTGGGTGACAGACCAGAAGCAAGGGGTCTAAAAAACGTCATCGATAAATCTGATGAATCAACGTGTTCATAAGCTGAAGCTGAAATAAAAAGCATTAACGTGCACGATGATGATGGTAAGTTATCGTGGATGAGTTGATATCGAGGGGGTTTTTTTCAAAAGAAAATACGGACATGGGAGAATGTTTGAAAAAAAATGTCCTCAGTGCAATGAGTTTGTGGAGCTAAGGACAGCAGGAGCCCATGTTGGAAACAGCACTGCAGTATACGCTGATGATGACAGACTTGTTTGCCCATATTGCGATTACATTGAAGCCGGTGAACAGTAGAGCATTGCATGTGTGTACTATATTTTGTTTTATTACGTCGTAACATTTATGAGATATAATGTAAGTCAGTAACGCAGATGAGAAGTTACCCATTGAAGAAAACGAGGAATCCTACCATCTCAATATGAAAACAAATCAGTGCCAAGCAAAAGAATACCAAGGGGAAAGGCGAAGCCCTCCAGCATGCAAGTGGCATTCGAGAATGCAATGAAAGAGCACAACAAATATCTCACGGAGTCCAATGAAATGTTTTTGTAAGAAATGAAAAAAGCAGAAAAAGAGCGAGAGTTGCGAAGGAAGAGCTTAATGTTTATAAGGAGTCAATGTCACTTCTTGCAAATGCAATAGCAATGAGGTCTCAGCCTGTGCAACAACCATTCTACAATGTTCATCATGATGCTGAAAGTCAACAAACATATTACAAACTTTGATTTAATTTAAGAACATGAGTAATTTAGCTATCATCAGCTTATTGTTTTATTAAAAACTCAGTTAAAGAATTTCTAATTTGCTCTGCACTTGTGTCTGTATTCTGTAAAACAAATTCTGAAATTTCATTATCAGGAATAAGTTCAACATAATCTGCAAAAAGTTTGTCAGCTCTACTCTCACAAATATTGTGTAAAACACAACATGCTGCAATTTCATACGCAAATGATCTACATTTGTATAATTCTTGTTAAGTAGGCATCTGAATCTGTTTTTTAAACGGCCAAATGCACAATCCACGACTTGCCTTGCTCGACTTATGTAGTAATTAAATTTCTTTTGAGCAGGACTGAGATTGCCATCGTTAGGATGCCTCTTCATCAACCATGGTAACAGTGGATATGCTGGATCACCAATAAGCATGAATGGTACATTGCAACCACATATCTCTTTTCCTCCCAAAAGTATATCAAGACCATGAATTTTCTAGTGGCTATTATCAAAAATGCAGTAAAATTTGCCTCTGAACTAAGATAAGGTTTTTATTTTAAGAACAGAAAACTTACATTTGGGAAAAGTTTTCCTGCTTCAGCTTTTGCAAACACTCCCGAGTTTGACAAAACTCTTGCATCATGGACTCGACCTGGCCACTTTATGCAAATGTCAGTGAATCTTCAAAATTTTTTAAATATATATTTTTTACTTTTTAAGTGTGTGTAATTTAATTCACTTTGTGTAACTTACTTACTCAACTAGTTGAAACGCATGTCTAAATTAATAAGAAACCTATTTTACATCAGTCACTGTTAAACTCCCCCATGGGATCTAAAAATTGTTAGAAGGTGAAAAATGTCAGTTGCATAACAGCGAGGCAAAAAATTATTAAGTCAACCTTGACAAAAGCCGTACGTTTTGGTACCTGTATTGATGATCAACAACAGCTTGGAGAACAATAGAGTAGAATCCTTTTCGATTGTAGTAATCTTGTGCAGAATTTGAAGGTTCTACAATTTGAATATGAGTGCCATCAATGGCTCCAGCGCATTGAGGGAAGCCCCATGTTGTTAGAAAGGCATCAACGAATACTCTACAGTCTATCGCCCGTTGACCATTTGATAACAAGACGCAGTAACACGTCAACAATAGCTTGGCAAACCTCGTTCACGATTTCACAGGCTGTACTTTTTCCTATACCAAAACGCTAAGCTAAAGAACGCAAATCTTCATTGGTAGCCGAATGCCAAAGACAAATTCCTACTCTTTTTGGCACAGGGATAGCCTTTCTGAAATTTGTATCTTCTCGCAAAAGAGTGTCATTGATCTTGTCGCAAATGAAATCGAATGTTCCCTTAAACATACGACAATTTTCTAGCCACAACCCATCATCTTTCCACATATCGATAGTTTTTTCCCAGAACAAACCGGTGCCTTTACTTGCATCCACCCAGAAACGTCTTTCACTCATTAATTTATTTCCTAGAGCGCCAATAAACCAAAAATAAAACTGGCCGTCCTTCTTTTACTTCGCTGCTTTCTCAGTTTCAAAAATATTTCTTTCTTCTTTCACGACGCATTCGCATTTTTGTGGTATTCAGATGTAATATTGAAAATGGTTGCGATCACTTCGTCCGCCATATTTGGATTGCAATAATATAAATATTGCACATTGTTGTCAAGGAAACTAGCTCGGCTTACGTTTTGGCGTGAACGCTCACAAAATTGAGCTTGGTCATTCACAAGATCGATCTCAGATCGATCTTCTCGGATCGATCTTAAAGCGAGCTAAGTGAACAGGCCCTATGAAGTGAAAATACCAAATCATTATTATTACAGCATGCTAAGTTGATGTTCGAATAAATGACTTCAAATTCACTCGGAAGCGTGTTTTTCTATGCCGACGACCTTGGAAATATCGTGGAAAATGTTAGCGAAAATATAGCAGAAAACGTAAACATGGATGAAAGGAACGAAAGTTTTACGCATGAAATTCAAGATTACATTATGGCACAACGGCCATAACCGCTTTACAAAAATAAATACGTTATTTACCGTTAATATTTCGGTCCGAATAGAAGAATAGTTCCTCTCGACATCAAAACGGCCTTTGGCCTCGGGCCGTTGGTACATCTGGAAAATATTTTACATTTATTTCACGCGCGTTCTGATTGGTCAAAGCCAATCCAAACATCAAATGGCTGTTCTTTTTTCGCTTGAATGGACCTCCCCAAAGTCTCGGTCAGTACAAGCGAAAAAACAACTCGACAAGTATCCTCCTGTACGAACCTCTCGCTCAGTCATTAACATATATATAAATCTTTTTAATTTAATTTTGATTTTTTGTACATGAATAGTTTGATTCAGCTGGTATTTTAAACAATACATCTGATGAGCTGTTGAAGGCATGTGGCATAAAAGGATGGCAAGTTATACGAATCAAAATGCATTGGCAACGATTAACAACTTGGACAAGTTTCTACCAGTAAGAAATGTTCCATCCACCATTGAACCATCCACCCAGAAGATCGCTCATTTCCTTTTGCCATAGATGACAATGTCAGCAATTCTTCAGCGTCAATTGAAGAAGCTCATTTGTCAACAGGCACCCACACCTACAACATCCAGTACACCTCGACATACACTCTAAAAACATCCTGGTTAAAAAATCCTGGTTGAATGAATTTCAACCCCAATTATGTCAAGTTAACTCGGATTTTGTTAAAACCGGGTTAATTTTTAGTTCAACACTGTTGTGCAGTTCACTGTACTACCAGGATCCAGGTTAAGAAAAATCAAAATGGCGGCTCACTAATTTTCGGGACGAAAAGTCAAAATTGTTTATAATTTGCTTTTTATGCTTTTACAGAAACAAAAAAAAAAACAAACTTTTCGGGTGTCGATATACATATTTAGAAAATTTGAGAAGATACCAATCATTGGAAAACGCTATTTAAATGCTGTCATTAGTTCCAGTGATAAAAACGAAGCACTAGTCTGGACAAACACCATTGATCTTAAATAATTAGTTGAGAATACGTACGCTTCTTTTGATCATTTGATCATAGCAAACGAAACAACCCTGTGCGAATTCCGGGGTTGGACGGCCACCTAGATGAGATAATGAAGAAAACCCTGTCATCTGAGACTGCGAGCAACTGCTTTGTTAAGCTTTCATGAAATGGGGAAAGAAAAATGGCTGATCGAGAAGTACGAGAACCGCTGACACTTTGAACATAGGCAATAAAGTTTTAGTGAAAAGTCATATTTTAATCTTAAAATTTAGATCAAAACCAGTGGTGTAGCCAGCCCTCAAATTTAGTTCTGCTACGTTAAGTTTTCTGTGTTCACTCACTGTAAAAACAACAGATTTCTAAAGAAATGAATAATGTTAATGATCTGAAATTTACATAGCACGACCAAAACTTGCGAGCTGGCTGCCACTGATCAAAATTAGTGATGAGAATTCTAAAGTACAAGTATGTTTCCATCAGAGTTAATAACATTAGTAGCTGCATTCATCAACGATATAGCTTTGTTGGTGTTGAAATTTAAAAGTTAGCAAACAACCATGTGTTAGATACAATATCTAAAATAATCAGTGTAATTCTGAACAATTATGATTGTTCTAAGTGTTTTAAGTTATTGCACCAAATACCAGTTGCAATCTCCTCAAGCACTCCATTTTTGTACCTGACAGTTATAAATTTACTCATGGAAATCTAAACAATTTTGGAATGATTGACCCTCTGAAAATTGACAATTCTGGGAGACTTGTCACGCAGCAAGAGCTAAATAATCATTTCGAGTCTATGCTTAAGCCTTTATAAACCGTGATGGCAGACCTAAAGAGAATTGTCCTCAAACTAACATTACCCATAAGAGCCTGGAATTGATAGAGGTCTGAGAAGCTAGAAGAACAGTTAAATAGACAGACACTTGACTATAAAACACAATATTATATTAAATATAGTTTCACAAAATATAATTTCATCTCAATTCAAAATACACTGTCTTCATGGTAAGTAGTCTTTGTCTTAATACTAGGTACAATCTCCAAAAGCACAACACTTTCTCTCAGAGCTATAAATATTCATGATAATTTATATGAGTTTTGAAATGCACAACAACTTTAATAATTTACTATCTTTGTAGACAAGTCACACAGGAAGAGTTGAATGATAGAGTCACACTACATGCTTGATAAAGTATAAACTGTGTTCCAGTAAGGGCAATGGAGGATTGATAACTGGGACGCCAAAATTCATATATTTTTGTTATGTAATCTCTAATGGCAATTGATTTCAATAGAAACTAACACAGTAAAACAGGCATTTATAAATGTTTGTTCCATCTTACTAGTTATTATCAATCCTCGGCCACCCTTGTATTCGAGACCTGTGAGGTACTTGGCCTGAAAACTAGCTTCATCGGGCATCAGAACCTGATCATTATAAAGATCAGTGAAGCTAGTAGAACAGTTAACTACAAACAATGAAATTTAGGAAAACAACCTTCTGAATTAAATATACTTTCAACTCATATAATAAATTTCCATGATTATAACTGATATAACACCGTTAATTATTATCTTCAAACTCTTTGTACTGACAAAAGCAGCATAGCTTATTCAAAGAATGCCATTTGGTCCACGAAATTCAGTCGACGAGAAAATTATCGCCTGACTGTCGCCACAAATCAAAATAGGGAGTTTTAGCAGAGCCTACGAGTACGACTACGAGTACGATTTACGTCATTTTGGCGAAAACATCGTTGCGACAACAAAACACGTAGCCGTCATCAATCTGAGTACGATGTTTTGTAAAAATTCGTAGTCGCGACTACGATGTCTTTTTAAGCAAAGAAAGTAGGTATATTTCTTCATTCTGTAAGAAATTAGTTTACAGTACTATTTTCGAGCATCCAGGCTTTAATATAGAACCCTTTTTGAGCGCAGATGTACATTAAAAAGGAAAATATGACCTGCAAAACTTTCATGTATTTCGTATGCAAAGTGAAAGGTAAACAAACAATAAAATAGTACATATATATCGTACATAAAACTTAATATAGTGAAGATTTTTCAGTCTGAAGGAGTCCTATATTCTCGCAAAACCAGTATTATCGATTCTTTGATATCATTTATTGACAGAATAGAGCCGTGGCTCAAGCAAAACGTCGGTGTTTTACACAATAAAAAGGCTCGTTCTGTTGTTTACAACTAAAGCAAAATTTTGACGAAGCAAAAACGACAACAACCTTCCTTGTGCCATTCCCTTACACGGTCAAATTTCGTACTCGTTCTCGTAGTCGTACTCTTGCTAAAACTCCCTAATATGACATTGTTTACATCATCGATTATCACCAACCATTTCACAGCATTATACACTTGAATATAACTGTAATACCAAAGTCTTCTCTGGAAGAATATGAAAAGCCAGAAGCTTGAATTACAAGCAGATAAATACAAAGTCACACATAGTAATACCACGAACGACAATAATCAACCGAGCGATAAATCGACGATAATGCACAATGAACAGTAGTCACATGACACGAGCGAGCACCTTCGGTATTTGACGATAGGTAACGACAGTGAACTCGACATTTGAATAACTGGAATGATAACCGAAACCAAAATGAAGCCAAAAAAATTTGTCGTCATCATTCGTCATCACACGTCAGGCTCTAGTCTCTCGCGTGTTCATTTAATTTTTAAATCATTTGTCCCTTGGTAATGGTAGAGTTGATCAGAGCGTAAAATAACAGAAATTTTGGAATGAAAAGGTTCACGGAAAGTGAATGAAAGTGATAAATCGAGAAGCAAGATGAGGTGAACTTAGTCGATCTGCTCTTACGCTGCGGTTTTCCTTTAAACATATCAAAGTCTTTAAGGATATTCAATTATTGTTATCGAGATGACAACCATTTAGTATTTCAAGTTTCAAGCACTATCAAAATCGATGAAAATACAATCGCTCTGTAAAAGTAAAAATGCGAGTTATAGACTCAATATTTTTATGAAACTGGATATTAAAGTTTCTTTTTATTCGGAAAACAGATCTTTAAATCCACTTAAATGACAAAAAGACAAACACTGTGTGACACCGTTTGAAAGTTTACCTTCGACGAAAGAAAATTTATGCTTGAATATTTTCTCGTCATATTTTCTATTAATATTGTCTTTTTAGCAAACAGTGTAATTTTCAGTTGGCTTTTCCTCGTTACAAGTTGTAAGTTACAACGAACTCACTGTAGTAAAGTTTCAGCAGTAAAAAATAACCTTTTGCGAGTTGGCCTCGTGTTGTTTGTCGTGATGTTGTTTATATGTTTATGCTTTTGCAATTTGTATTCAAATTTATATTGGCCGTGTATATGTTTGGCACTCAGGGGGAATATACTGACGTACAAACCGCGTGAATATTCGACTTTGAAGGACTGGAGGACTGACGTACAAACCGCGCAAGAGACTAGGACTTTGGCTTCAACTTTTATCTATAAAATGTATTGTCGTCATCATTCAGATATATATATATATGGAGTTCACTGGGTAACGATTGTCAATTTGCGACTTGCAGTTTTGCCGCCTTTTGCTCTTTCTCGTGAACTGTACAAACAAATAAACTACGAAGTTTCAGCCTCATCAAAAAAGTTTATGGACAATTTCTTTGCCCGATAACAATACGACGAAAACTTTGAACAATCGTACGCCAAAATTCCCGAAATGACAATATGACAAAACGAAATGACAAAACACAATATGAATCAATTTGAGAAGAGTTCATTATTTAGTTTGCCCAGGTCCATTATATATAATCGGTACATGAAATAAAGCAGTCCATGCAGTTTGTAAGTTTTAAATCTCGTGGAAAGTGTTGAATGTTCATAATGTCATAATGGTGATTTATTAAGCTCTTTTGCCTGTAAAAACTTATTAGGACACATTTCAAAAGTCAAAGTTTTTGTTCTATCTGGGTGCTAAAGTATGAAAGTACTTTTTTGTTACGTAATATCAAATTCTTGGGAGATGAAGTGATTCTGACATCGTATATCTTGCAAATTGGTGTAAACTTCATTAAATATACCAAAAGCTTTTACTTTTAACTGGAAAATGTGATGATATGCTTCCTGTTTTTCAACAAATTGTTTATGTTATCGTTAGTGAAAATAATAGTGCGCACTTTCTTACGCGGAAATGGAAAACAACCGAGTACCATCGACATCATTCGTACGCAATTGAACTGCCAAATGATCCAAAGTGCTCGATCATTTCTTTGAATGATTTGCACTTTATTTCCCATACCATGCCTCAGAATCATATGATAAAGAAGATTTGTATTCTCATGTCGTACTTCGTCACCGCCTTCCTTGATGCCGCTCAAAATATTAATAAAGAAGTTTAATATGCTAACATGATACTTAATACGAAATAGTTTTGAAGGACTTATAAGAGTAATGATTTCTTTATTCCATTGACTACATGCTTTTTATTAATGATGTTTAAGATTAGAGGTTTATTATCTGTAATGTCTTTTTTTGGTTAAATGTTCATTTCTAAAATAACATGAAAGATATAAACAATTTCATTGGTCAAGAGCTATAAATTATAAGAGGCCATGCACTTTTTTCATTACATAAACTACGTCTCCCTGCGAGTAATTCTATAGGTAATAGAAAAGTTTTGACTGCGATTAGGGATGATCGTGCCCAAGTGAGTTTTTAAAGAGTAGCTCAGGTCCAATTTAGCCGTAATAGCATAAGAAATTATACTTTAACTCAATAATAATATACTTTGAGGTATATGTTGATAGTACCGTTAAACGTTTTTCTCGCTTGGTTACTCTCTATCTTCTCGTGACTGTATGCTGTTTTGTTATCGTCTTTGCATTTTTGCAGTTCTTGAATTTCAAACGATTGCAGATTGCATTTGTAAAATCTTTCTTTATTACAAATACCATCATGTTGCTTTTAAACAATTAAACTTATCACATTAAACACTGAATTAAATTGAACAATATAAACTTTCTATGGATGCTATTTATTTTATCCAATATAGGCATCTTCAAGTCCCGAGTTTACTTGTCAGCCAAAAGAAAACCAGGCAAAGCGTTCAGTAGCAGCAAATCAGTCTATATTCGAGAACTGTGGGCTCAAACTTTTCAACCGAGAAAGAAACCCAGGAATGATTTTGTAGCATTAACACTTGTAGAGCAATTAAACATCAAACACACTTTTTATATTTTTTTTTAAAGAATATCAAATCGATTTTGGAAGAGTCCGAAGTTAGTGCTCAAGTAATTTGCGAACTGGATACGGATAAATTAAGCAGAAATAGCAGAATCAAGATGGTTCAGATACTAGTGGCTTACATAATTAATCAGTTTGGAGAAAGGTTTGTGAAAATATGAAAGACTAAATTCACCACTTTTACTGCAAAATGTAAGTCTACCTATGATGTCATCGTAACAGTAAAAAATCATAAAAATAGAAAATCAATGAGTTGTACAAATTAACACAATAGTAAAATGAGATTTTAGCAATGAAGCGTCGTGTTCGAGAAACATGTAAATGTTCATACTTTTTAGAAAAAGGTAAATTTTTTAGAGGAAATAAGCAAAATGTTTCTATGAAATTATTATAATGTGAGATTGAAAATCCGAAATTTAACATTTATTACATTTTCAATGACATCATAAGTACACATGCACTTAAGTTCTGAATTGTTCAACATCCATAGTTAAATTTAAATAATTCAAAAATACAGGCCTCATGCAGACATCAAAATCCAAATGGCAAAGGCAGTGGTAGAGCAGTTTCCTTTCCTTAAAGACGAAGAGGGTCAAGGATATGTACGCGTTTCTCATTACGTTTAACTTTTGATTTGGAATCAAATGATGTATTTTACAAATGTTTGTTCTTTTCTTGTACGTGATCGCTTTTCAATTTTAGGAAGCTTGGTACACGCCAGGAAAGGGAATTCATTCTTCTACAGGGTGGTTGGAAGAACGGCTTAGAAATGTTAGGAGAAAGAGCATAAAACACCGTCAGACTGAACAAGAATTTGGCTCAACTTCAACTTCTCTAAAACACTTGCCGAATCTACCAGGTTAAATTCGTCAATTAAAAACATATTAGTAGTTTAATTGGTGGTGCTTGTAGAAAATTTCCTTTTTTTCTTAAAAGAGCCAGTCTTAAATGAATGTGACCATGATGGAATGAGGCAGTGGATGAAAGACAACTGAGCCTATCTCAACCCTAAAAGTTATATACAGAAGACCGTCTTAAATCGATAGAATGGATTAGAACAACGCCACAACTTACAATACTAGAGGTTATGAAGGAATACCCTCGACTTTTGATGTCCCTGGCATGGTAAAGAAAATTCTTAGACGTTCTTTCGTTATACATCATCTTGTACGGCTAACCAAATGTTTTTCAAAATTTATTCAGGTTGAAATAGACTTTGCAACATTGTATCCAGATGTCGCGGATAATCTTTTTCTGCGTTTTACACCAGAAACAGTAGAGAAAATAATTTGTTACGCAGATACACAAACAGAAAAATGGACAAGATACTTGAATATTGCAACAAGAAACCTGAATTCCGGTAAAAATTGCAAAAACGGTTACATAATGCATGAAACATATATGATACATGAAATATTTCTTCATCTACAGTCCAAAAACACTGACTTTTATTTATAAACTATTTTATAGATGAAAAAGAAATGCTGCGATCGGTCTCCTTCCATGTATTTTTCCTACTGGAAGAAAAATAAAAGAGGTGTACAACTGATGAAGCATTATGTGCTTTTATCGATTGCCAACCGGTATCTATCAAAATCTTTTCATAACTTATTCACAGAATACCTAATACAAATTTTGTCAAAAAGCACGGGCGTCAATCCGTTGTTAATTGAAGGGAACCATATTCTTATATTCTGTCATGCCATCCTGATTTCTTTTGAAGGGAAATTGTTTTGAAAAGAAATTAGGCTGGTGTATGAGTACATGAATATGTTTTCCCCGCATTAAAGCAAGATTGCTGCCATTGCAGAAAAAAATACAAAAACCATGCATTATTTTGGTGCTACTTTATAGCATTGTCTCGTGCTGCTGTCAGTAAAATGTTTGAAAACATGAGCATTTTTTTCCCTGAGAAAGTTTTTCTTAAGTCCTATGAAACAGTGACAAATATCAATTATTTAAAAAAAGATGAAAGTCAATATATTCATGGACTGTTTTGCACAAAATGCTAGATCATCACCATTTTCAAACATTTCGGTACCAGCTCTGCATATAAGTATAGTCGCATAATCATTGTATTTGATGTAAAAGTCTCAAGTCTACTGTTAAATTATTTTTAGGTCGGTACAAACATACCCAAATATTTAGCAACAATCTTTCTCAGGAAGTGACTTCGAGTTGCCGTCATAAGGGAACATGCGATGCGCATAAAGTACTAAATTCTCGATGGAGATTGGGACGTATAGCATCATCGTCGTTGAGACAATTCAAAACTTACATGTCCCAGTATCGCTATGATATCAGCGTTCATACGAACAACATTGTCAATATTCAGTTCGCTGCTGTTATTGAGGCAACCAACAGTTCATTGGTTGTTTGTGTTGCTATATGACCGACATTCGTCAGGGCTGATTGAATGGCACTCAATTGTAAATCACTTTCTCTAGTTGTGCGGTCTAATTTTCCCAAAATTTCGGGATTTACCCTTTACAATAAGGCGATCGCAGTTCTTAGGCCTAAAATATTTAGCTGTTTTCCTTCAATTGCTAGCCACTCAGCTTATTCAGCCAACGCTGGTTGATAATTGAAGCGAGCCTCTCGTTGACAATTGGTGAAGTTTTCTCAGTTTCGTCTAGATTCTGCGAAATCTCTTCCAGTAGCGGGTCCACTGCTAGTTGTTCTCCTTGAGAATTGCGCTTGGTCGAGTGTTCTTCGTTTTGTGACAACAAAACTTCACAATCCATCATGCCCTGATTCAGAGATTAAAGCACTTGTTTTCCCCTTACGAGTAGATTCTACTGTGGAGGATACTCTGTGCGATTCACTCATTGTAGTCATTGCTTCACTCATCCTGCAAAGGAGCAAATTCAATTTCTTTGATGTGACTTACTTCTTCGCTTTATTCCGTCATGTCATCTTGTTCATTGTGTTCAGCAAAACCCAGGGTGCTGCTTCATCTCCGACATCATCTCTTGTCGTATACTCTTCACTTGTAGAAGCCATAATTCAAACTTGTAATATAGTGAGGAAAGGAACTTTTGTAACTGATCACTGTGAAATACGCTCAAACTGATCTTGACATCGCGCGCTCTATCTCACATCACTTTCTCGTGACGTAGAACAGTGACGAATAAGAATAAAAGATTCCCAAATTAAACTGTTAAACGGTTTGTTTTGTCCCCCAACACTTGGATCATTGAAAAGTCACGATTTTGCAAATATCACATTACGTGTCTAGGATTAATGAAAATATTATTGGCTAGCTTAATCACGTGATAAAATGTTATGGCTAACAGAATCTTAGGGGCCGTTCACACTTAGCACACTTTGAGATCGACTTAAATTAGAGCTATCTCAAACCGACCGAGATCTATGCTCGCACGTTTTCGGAATGTCGACACTTGAAAATCGTAACAAATTACCGGATAAGCGTGGTGGGAATGGAGACGAAGGTAGAGCATCGTCAGGATCTGGGACTTGGTAAATAATTATAATATAAATTTGCTCCATATGTAATATGGTTTGCAGAAAAGGAGTTTTGCGAGCTTAGCGCTTGTTTCAAACCGTGTATGTGAAAGATTTATGCAGAAACAGAGACAGCAAAAATAAAAACATATTTAAAACTGGTGCTAGCTTACAGTCAAACGAAAAAATCGGGTTTCTTTGTTTTCAAGCTTTGTGAAGTTCATTTACGACGGGAAACAGTACTGAGGAGGTTCTAGAAATACCCAAGCAGAGCAGAGCCTTTTTCGGAAAAGAACTGCGAGCCAATGGGCGATAACCTCTGAATTGAGAATTTACGCAAGTCCAGGAATTCCTTTTTCTAGTATGTGAAATTACGTAAAGCATTATATAAAGGATACAAGATTCGTAAAGCTGTTCCAGTTGAAAAAGTGGCTGTTTGTTCGTGGCACCTAGCGACAGGCGAAAAGAGATCCTTATGCTAGCGATTAGATATTGCCAAGTACACAGCTTGTCAAATTGTTAATGGGCTGTGTGAATCAGTAGTTGACGTGCTTGTGCCTAGTGTCATTAAATGGCCAGAAGAAGAAGCATTGCAATCAGTTGTAAATGGTTTTGCAACTCAATGTTATTTTCTCAGTGTGTGGTGCTATAGTGGACTCACATCCCCATTACTGCCCCATCAAAATACTCAAAAATTACTACAATAGGAAGTGTTTCTATTCCATTATCATGCAGGTAGTCGTCGACCATGCATACAGGTAAACTACTGAATTCAGAATATGTTAACGTCAGAAATAATAAAGTACAGTAGCTATGAACTTAAAGGATCAACAGTATTAAAGGAAAAGAATGGTCAAATTAGAACTAGGATTCGTCTGTCCTCTCACTAGAAACATGAAAGATGTGAATAATCAGTAGTGAAATATCTTCTATCTTCTAGTCATCTTATCTCTATTTACAATCATCTCTCGTAAATATTACTTTAAACTAACAAAAAAAACTACAGGCAATTCAAAAATACATCAAGTAATATTTATATTTTACTAACATGTAATGCATGCTTTTTCTAAGAATAACCTTAGGCACTATTTACTTTGAGGTTTACAAATATTAATATAAAATGGTCAGGAAGGTACATGATGCGAGGTGTTCTCTAATTCATCACTGTTTTTAAGAGGTAACAAGATAAGTTTTTCCCACTGTAAGTATGAATATCACATTGAATTTGTTTTAAATGATATGTAGAAATTTTGTATTACGTAAAAAATATTAAGACAGAAAAATTCATTTATATGCAACGTAATGCACACCTAATGATGAAAATTCGTACCATGCAGTTTGAAAGCACCTGCATTAAACTACTGGTGATTGGTTTCTGTGTTTGCTCATTTTTCCTAATAACTCTGCCTATGCTAAGTTCCATATCTTAGTTTTGACGTGCAAATGTTAGTAGCAAAAACTTAATTAAAATTGCAGGGCTCATCCTCAAGATATAATGAGTAATTTCTTGCAGGTAATTTGTGCAAAATTTAAGTCTTTCATAATTATTTGGGCTCTAGCCCAACCCCCTCCTCCTAGTGTCTGCCCCTGAAACATGCAATGCTGCAACAATAAATTATAAAACTCTTGCCATTAAAACATTTTCATCTCCCAGTGGACAGAGAACATGAATAACTGTGTTATAATATTATTAATTGGAGATGCTGCATATCCTTTTACTCTGGCTTATAAAGGGCTTTCCATATAACAGCAATCTAACAAGAACTCAGATACATTTCAGTAAATCTCTAGTAGTACACGCATGATAGTTGAGGGAGCATTTAGTCGGTTAAAATGTCGATTTCGCTGTCTTCTAAAAAGAAATGAATGAATGAATGAATGAATGAATGAAAATCTTTATTTTGAATGAAAATCTTTATTTTGACACGCTGGCCTTGTCAACTGGGGTTGATTTCCACCAGGGGTGCTTTTGTTCAAAACAATTACAAAATTTACTAAGAATAAATTATCTACAGAAGAGAAGTTTAAATATTTACAGAGTTTAGTTTATTCCATCAGTTACATGTTAAACTAAATCATAAAATGCAAGCGGCAATTTTCTTTTGAAAAAGTGACACGCTTTTGCTATTTCTGATTTCTGCTGGAATTGAATTCCAAACAGAAGCCCCATCATACGCAAAGCTTTTCTTCAAGGAGTTAGTTCTAGGCATAGGAACATTAGGACAACTTGTAATATTGCGTAGATTGTAATCAGTGATGACTTTTTATAGGTAAACAATCTAGTAAGTGAATTTGGTCCAGCATTTTTAATAATTTAAACATCAGCTTTGCTTTAGCTTTTTTTCTAAGTATTTCAAGAGGTTCCCACTTCAATTCTTGTAATGCTTTACAATATTCGA